ACACACACACACACACACACACACACACACACGGTGGTTCACGCCCGCTCCCATACCCTTCTAGACACGCCAGCAGAAGCAGCCCCCTCAGCTAATTCCATTATACATTCCGTCTGGAAGCTGTAGGGCTGGCTCCTAATTGCTTCTGTATCCCCCTGAGCTCCCCGTCCCCCCCAACCCCCCCACACCCCACACGGCCCCCCCTACACCCTACACTGAACATGGCAGCAAATGGAGAGAGAACGGCGAGCTAGAGAGAACGAGGAGGCTGGGAGTACCGCTGGCATTTTCACCTCGCGGGAGGCTCCGGTCCTGCTCGGCTGTGCGGAAGACAGAGACTGACCGGCAACACAGGTACGCCCGTTTCCATGTTCCGCGTCCGCCGCCGACGGAGGCATGTGAGGAATGCGTATGACTCGTAGCGGGGTTGATGTCCGGGGGTCTGTACAGAGCAGGGATTCTCTCCATGTTTGCCTTGAGTGCGGGTGTCTCTGGCTGCTAGCCTCGCGCCAGCGGTGGACTCTGACGGGGATGATTCAGATGCTGGGAGTGATGTAGTGCGTTGTGGGGACAGGCAGCCTGTGTAACGCTGCTCCTGACGTCTAGAAGTGATGTTTGCACCGTGCTGCACATTTTCACACAGGCGTGTTTTAACAGACAAATGCTCCTGTGTCCCTAACATAGTGGCCCAGACATAAAAAAGGCCTTTTATCATTAAATTTAAGAAAAAATTCTCTACAGCATAGTGAAATACAGACTCAAAACTGAATGGCACTCAAAAGCTGTACCTAAGGGTATGTTTCTGCAGTTGTATGTGTCAGACCTTAGCTTAATAATCTTGAAATTAAATTAAGATGGGATAGAAGGAATTTGGATCTGCTTGTAGAAACAGTGAACATGGACTTTTGACAAGGGTCTAAGAAGCTTTTAATCTTCGTGGCTTCAGCACTCGCTCAGAACGGAGACTGTGGTGGCGAAAAATACCTGGCAGATATAAAAACATTTCAAAACATTGCATACTTGTAGTTTTCTGGAATCTGTGGTGGGGAGGGTCAGGAGGAAGGGGGCAGGTGTTTCGTGGTGCCCCGTGCCTGAAAAGACTTTTAATCCACGCTAATGAAACAAAACCTACTACTTTAATTTGACATCATCACTAAATGGGAATGAATGCTACCTTTGTATTCTGCTGCTCCCGTTAACGCGAAACAAATAAATAAATAAATAGAAACAAAACAAACAACACGCACAGCCAGCGGCCGACGTAGCCTCCTGCCTTGAATGCTCATTGTGCAGGATCAGGCACCAGTACTTACACCAGTACTGACACCAGTACGACACCAGTACGACACACAGAAGTTCATCCCCAGCTCCCGGGGGGAGCCCTTTATTACTTTTGCCTGAAATTACAGTCAAGGCCGGCTTCAGCTTCAGCCGAGAGACATTAATTAGGACGTGCTGGACGCACACTCTGCTCTTAGACGGATAGACAGGTCTCTGACGGGAGATGCTGGTGAGACGAAGTGAATCTACCGATGTGCCGGTTTTGCCAAACGGCAGGGCGTTGAAATAGAGAGCTGGCGACGGAGCGAAAAAAAAACGTCAAAAAGCGTTTGAGAGAAGCTGGGGAGCCTGGGGGCAAGGACTTAATAACCATTTATTTATCTCCTGTAGCCTCAAACCTGCTGATAATACTCAGCGGACCTGGTCAGTCTTAATTGAACAGAAAAAATCCCCTGGTACCAAGTTTGTCAGGCGATCGGAAAGCTTGTCTGAGCCATTAAACATGCAGCAGTCGCTCCACCCCTTCCACACACACACACGCAGGTTTGTAATTATATATTTGTGGGGACTCTCTATTCATTTCTATGGGCAAAACTCTAATCCCAACATGACTACCTTACCCCCTACCCAGTCCTAACCTTACCCATAAGTAACCAAACAAAAAAAAAAAAAAGACATTTGGTCCCCACAATGTAATATAAACTTAATCCACACACACACACCCCATTAGGAGACTTTGGACAAGTCCTCAGCTAGGAGTCCTGGGAAAGGTTATTAAAGGGGTCTGTTTTGAAGCAATGGGCCCCAAAGCAAAAATAGGACCTGGGGCTCCTATTGATAGACACACACGCTTGGCACAGGGGAGCGGGGGCAGGCTTTGCTGCAGATGTTTCTTCCCCAGAACATTTAGGAGATTTAAAGATGCCTGCAACAGAGAGATATAAAGGCGACGTGTGGGTCCTTAGCCTATTTTAACAGATATTCTGAACGATGCCCGTAGATGAACCCGGTACGATTGCACTGTACAGTGCTCATACTTAGCGGTACTACACTGCTGTCCATTTAGGTGACCGTCACTAAACCAAGCAGCGACAACCATGATCCCCTTCCTGGCCCAGCACTGCGGTTAAATTATGATATCACCCGTGTGACAGCTGTGAGTCATGACGGGACACATCCATCCCTTTAATATGCCGTCAGGAAGGAGACTGCGGTGTTATTTCAGGCAACTTTTTCTCATTGTGTCACTTCCTGTTCTTGTCGATGCCGCATGCAGCTCGTCCGCAGACGTGCCGCTCTCAGCCTGCACGGCACCAGCATGGCCGGGGATGAAAGTGCGTGGCGGGGGCTCCTCACGTTCGATAAAATGAATTTAGCGTCGTATTTTGAGCCATGATGTCGTCATCCAGTGCAAATGACAGAAAGTACATTGGAAGTACCCCCATTACGGTGCTAATGTTTGTCACATTTTTGAAGGTTTGCTGACTTAAACACATCGAAGCAGGTCCTTTGACTGTAAGCAGCGGCTGGGTAGTGTAGAGCTGCGAGGCAATTATGCGAGCGGACCCCTGAAGGGCGGTAAACAGCAGTGTTGTCGATAATCATAGCGACAGCTAGCTCCACATTTAGGAAGCTAAGCTAGTCAATGCACGGCACAAGGCTTGACGTCTAGCAGGCAGTTCATTGAAATAAAGAGGGCTGAAGTCAGAGGTGAACAGAGAGCATTCCCCTGCTGTCCTACTCTGTGCAGATGGCCCAATGGGAAAAGACCAGGAGCACATTATATGTGCATCCCAGAATGTGAAAATTACAAATTTTTTTATTAGGGTCTAAAATAACAGCTTAATACCACAATTAAAACCACGGCTCAATCAGCGCTCGTAATAAAAATTTAATTACAGCATATTGTCTATTAACAATTACATTAGTTCTGACAAACATTAATTTAAATTGAACGTTCATTTAAAAGTACATTAACCACACCTCTGAGATTAGCATTCTAACGGAAATGTTCATAAGTCAAGCCATCTGAGAAATGTAGCTGTGTCAAACTCAGGTCACGTCACTGAAACTGAGAGATACAGAGATTAGAGTTTTTCATTAAAAGAATGCGATACTGGAATGAAGAGCAGGAGAGATTCAGTTCTGAATCCCAGGTTGAGTGTCAGTCACAGGTTTCTGATTAGTTACTTTGGTGGTTCCTGCAGTTTTGCGCCAGGCAGCGACTGACGACGCATGATAATCCCATCCTGGGTGTTGGGTGCCTTCTTTCTCCATCAGGATCACAGAGCTGTTCCTGAAAAGCAGGCATTGTGAGAGCTCTTTGAAACCTGAAGAGAAATACTCGCTTCAATAAATGGCACCTGGAACACAACAGAACCAAAGGCTGTACCCGTCAAACAGCAACAAACCTACAGGAATGACAGGGATCTTCTCAACCAAGGTCTGTTCCTGACATAAATCAGCGTGGTCGATTGTGACTTCCCATTGCACTTTAGAACGTGAGAAGCCTTCCCCAAAACGACATAATCAATGTGCTTAAAAAAATCCTTTGACATTCTTTGAGAATTTGATGAGATATCATCTCATTGGAGCATGCTCTTTTTGACAAGGATGCAAATTGTGCAAAATGGAGACTAAAGTGGAAATCACTTTAATTACTCCACATAATGGCGTTACAGAGACACGCGCATGCAGCTAATGTACTACAGAGCACTGTAGACAGGTGCTAATTCATTAGCCCATCGCTATTGGTGTAAGAAGCAGAGGAGCACTTAGCTGGAGACGGCAAGCAAAGATCCTCGCCTTTCGGCTCAGGAGCACACATTGCGATTCAGAGTTAGTCATGAAAGTGTGACCTCTGCCTCTCAGATGGCGGCTCAGAGGGAATATTTTTCTCACCTAGCTGCTGTGTCTCTGCACTGCTTAGTCATGGGCTGAAGAGTGAGATGCTTTTCAGCTTCTGATTCTTTGTTCTTATATCTCGAGCTTAAGAACGAGTGGTTTACTGACCTCTCGTATGTCCCTCCATCATATGACATTTCCTGTTTCAGATATTTCGCTTTGAGCGACTGCCAGAGCAGGTCATGTTTGAATTATGTCATCCTCCAAGCGTGAGCTGGAAGTTAGGCAGCAGCAGGACATAATTGGTATCATAGGCAATGCTAGACCCAATGTCGGGTGTCCTTTAGCCCCGCCCCCTTGACGTTCCGCTCAAAATGTTGTCATTCTCAAATCCATTGAAACCACTGGGATTTTGTGATCCGTTCTGCGCGAGATCTGTCTGCCATGCAGCAGCCTAGTAGAAAACAATCAGCAAACTCTCCTCATTTCTCTTTGTTTTAGGTTTGCTTTTTTTGAACCGAACCAATGACTCTGGAGCAAAGTCTTCAATAATCTTTGCTCTGAAATACACTGTAGCTACATGGATTTGTCAGGTTACTAGTTATAAGTAATGTATTTCATCCATATAGTTTTTTTTTTTTTTGCACCTATGCAATACAATTTAGAAAGTTCTTCACTGGTAGAGCTTGATCAGTCGTTCTGTGTGTCCATCTAGGTATTTACAAACAAGCCATGTTCTCATTGACTGTGTGCCCATAAAGTTGTCTGGCATCCCATCCAAGGTACACCCTGCCTCTTTGTTCTTCCTGAATAAGCTTCAGGCTCCCCACCATCTTGGATTAACATTTGAAGATGGATGGATGTCTGTTCAAAGGGGAGAGATTCAGCCAGGGTAGGTAGGTCACATGACTGCCAGTTGCTTAGAGAAGTACTAGTTGTCATGCACAATGCAGTGTCACCTGATGTGTGCTAGATGGACTATCGAGGGGGCAGAGTTTGTACTAGAGAAGCACACAATCTGCCTTTGTGGTATTTGGGTATTAAGGGGGCAGTGTTAAGGCGTGACATTTACAGAAAATGGATCTTGAGGTAAAAGAGCCCCAGAATAAAATATGTCTAGCAAAAAAAGGCCTTTGTTATACATGAAGCATGCAGGTAATTGCAAGCCACCCGTGTATTTGGTTAGCATTCCGCTCAAATCGGTCAAAGGCATCTTGCCAGCACAAACC